TTTGTTCCCCCTTCCCCTACAAGCTCGATGCCTGGCTCCGCCGAGCTGCTGCTGTTGGTGGCACAGAGGGAGCGCGAGTGACTTTGGCACAGCCACCGCGGCCCTGCACGTTCAGGCGAGCTGCAAGCAGAGGCTGCAGCCAGCAGAGCTGCCGCGGGGGGTTCGGCGTGCCCTTGCCATCCCTTTCGATGCACGCCGCCCGTCCCAGGCAAGAAATCATTTAATCAACACTTAATCATTTATCCCCTCCCAAGCAATTTAATCAACAAGTCGGTTCTTAACTTAAAAGTGCAGGTTCCCGCAGTTTGGCAGGTTGAGTTACACGTGTTTAATACTTCCAGTCTTCCCTAGATTCCCACGGGGGCTTTTATTGCTCAGAATCCAAAATCTCTCCCATGAGACGGACGCTGTGTCGTAAGCCAGAAACACGCCACCAGTGGCGAGGGCTCAGTCTTTTCCCAATTTAAGGTGCTTTCTTGGTTTCTTTGCCGGATGAAATGAAAACAGTGACACTGACCATTGGTGCACGCTGGCTGACGAGTACCAAGGGCATGAAGAAGGGTGTGTGCTTTTTTTTTCCCCCAAACATTTCAAAACACCCGCAGCTGTTTCCTCCGAGAAAGGGAGTGCTGCTGTCCTGCAGAAACGGAGGGCGAGAGCCCCCTCCGCAAAGCACATTCACTTTCTCGAGTGCTTTTCCCTGCAGAGAGGAGCTGGGAAGCGAACGGTGCTGTCGGAAATGATGCTTCAAAAAAAGGCACAACCCTCTAGACGGAAGAAAAAAGGCAGTACTGACTTCTCACTTCTGTCAAAGCTTTAGGATCTGAGAGGGCAGGAAGCAAGCACGGCGCATCCCCGCCCCGGTGAACGCTGCGCTGGAGAACGACGCATTGGCACTCAACATCGCATGGGGCCGCTGGGAGGGTCAGCAGCCTTCACCGGAGACCTGGGCTCTAACGCCAGCGGGGAGAGAAACAAGGCTGACGAACTCCGATACGCTCCGAGAAGCAGTTCAGACTGCGGTTAGCAAAACCAGAAAGCGCATGGCTGTACGTGGTGGACAGCAGCTGCCGGGGAATAGCACGGTCCCAAATTTTTCTCTGCCTTATACCGAAGCAAAAATCCCATCGGCTTCCCGGTGAGTCTTCCCTGGTCAAGGTTGGTCCATGGTCTTCCCTAGGAGGTCTTTTAACTGAAAGCATCAATATCCCTTACCATCACTAAGAAAGCTGCTTGTTTAAGGGGTGCAGTTATGGAATTGAAGGTCTTCAGCTCGCACTCGGAGATGATCCGAGCTGCTGGAGGATGGGGTTGGACACACGAGAAACCAACACGAAGCGGAAAGGGGCCTGGGATTTTAGCCCTTTGTCAGCAGAAACTGGGGCTGCCTCAGAGCAGGTGTTTCCCTCGTAGCTTTTGGCATTCGCTGCAGGAGGAGCAGGAATAGGGACGGAAAAACCATCTGCAGAGCCTGGCCATAGAGTCCCTCAAGCGGCCCCGCCAGCTACGGGCTACAGCAGCATCACCCCACAAACCCATCCCTTCTTCACCTTTTGAGCCTCAGAGCAGCAGGTCCCAACCACACCGTGACTTCCCGGGGAAGGAGCAAGGACCTTTCGCTTCCCCTTGACCCCAACGGGCAGTTTCTCCCCCTAAAAAGCCCCCAGGTCCTGCTAAATAGAGACCAAACCCCAAAATAACAGTTCTAAAGAGCTCCTTGGGGGGAAAAGCCTGGGTCCAACTCAACCTGCAACAGCAGCCACGGCTGCGCTCCCAGTGGTCCCAGTGTGGGAAGCGGGGATCCGGCAGTGGGACCAGCTGCAGGCTGGGCAGAGGAAAGGCCACAAAACCTCCTCTGGGTGCCAAGCCACGGGACCGATAAGAAAACTACGTGCGGCAGCTGGCACCCAAAGAGCCACTGCCTGCGACAACGCGCGGGGACGGGCACCGAGCCCCGCCCCCCGCGCCAACGCCTGCGGCTGCCTCTGGGGTGGAGCAGCCAGGAGCTGGGATTTGGCCGCAGTCGCAAGGGAAAAGCCCCTCTTCAAAAAGCGCTCAGGATGCAGAAAGGTGGCATGAGGCGGGCGGCCCTGCTGAATTGGCTCCGAAAAGCCAGGTGGTTGGCCAGCCGGACGGGGAGTTGGCCGGGCATTTGGGAAAATGCTGCAACAGAGGGCATGGAGACCCTGCAAAGCTTCTCCCCTGCTGCGTTGGGCATTCTTTCCCTCAAACTAGCCTCCCGATGGGGAAATCCTGTGCTGAATCCCATCCCGGCCACAGCCTGGTCAAGCTCCCGAGGTCACCCTGTGCTCCATGGGAGAAGGAATCAAGCGAAGGCTCTGCCTTCACCCTCTCCTTGGCTCCAGCCGGGAGCCCAAAGCTGCCCCCACTGGCGGAATTAAAAAAAAATTAAAAATCAGAGATAGAGAATGCAGCCAGGATGGTGGGAAGGGCCGCACCGCGAGCGCGGCGGCGTGTGCATGGTGTGAGCTCCCCTGGATCCGTGCACTGCGGGGAGGAGTCGGTCCCTTACCACTGCCAGGAGCATCTCCTCTCCCGAGCAGAGATTTCACATTCATTTCACTGGTATGGCAAAGTCCGTTCACTTTTTCCTTCAAGGTGCTTTACATTCAAGAGCTATTGCAATCCACAGCGAGGAAACGGGGCCGGGGAGATACCCCAGCCCCCCAGGTTCTCTTGAGTTTGATTATTTGATTTAAATAAAACTGCCCAAAGTCTCTGAAGTTTAGTTCATCTCTGGATTTTTGGGAACTCGAAGGGGGCCAGTGGCTCCAGCCTTAGCTCTCCCGTGGGTCGCTGTACTGAAGCTCCGAGTTGAAGACCTCCTTATAAAGGGGTGGGAAGTTCATGGCGGTCTCTGGGTGCAGGAGACGGAAAAATTCCAGCTTGTCCAAATGCAGGTTGCAAATGGTCTTCATCAAGGGCAGCTTGGAAACCATCTGCGGGGAGAGAAGGAGCTGGAACTGGTGACCACTCGGTTCCCGGCCAGCATCCCTCACGCCCCTGCTCCCCCTCCCTTGGGGACACGGGTGGGTTTGGGGGGCTACTGGCTCTGCCTGGCACCAGGGGCACCAGCAGACACCCCCCACCTTTGGCAGCATCGTGGCCCTGCCTCCAAGGCAAACCCACATCTTTCCGCAGGAAAACCAGTGCCTGGGAGGGCGCGAGGAGTCCCCCAGTGCCCCCCGTCCCCATTCTTTTGCCCCAAACCCCCACTGCCTGATGCACTGCCGGGCTCAGTGGCATGGGGCTGCCAACGGCACAGCTGCCTCCGCCTGCACCCCGGCGGAGATGCACAGCCCTTGGAAAGAGAAATTCTCCTCCTTCAACAGGTCCCAGGGCTCATGCCCCAAAAAACGCCTGTGCGTGGCTAACGAGCTCTGGCACAGCCACATCCACCGGTTCAGATGTCTCCCCGTGGCACACGTGCCGTGCCCCGACCAGGCTCCCCGCGCCCCATGCAGGCAGCACCGCTACCTTTGAGAGCTTGTCCTCGGCGGAGTGTTTCTTCTGGATCTCGTGCTGCAGGGCCACATAGATCTTGTCCTGGAGCTTCTGCACCTTCTTGGACTCCGTCAGCCACGGCCGATCTATGGGACACGATGGCCATGTCAGTGCTGCCATGGGGGTCTCCCCCCAGCACAGCGCGGTGGCCTCTTGCTCTTTTATCCCTTCCTGCTCTCCGGGATGTTTTTGGGGACGGTGGCATGGCCAGGTGGCCCCTCTTCACCCCTCCCCACCCCGCTGTGGGGGACGTGGGTCCTCCTCCCACCGAGGAGCTCTGGCAGATGCATTTTGTGCATTTTTAGATGCATTTTTACCCCAACCTCCTTTCCTGGGAATAACTTAAATCATCCAGCAGTGCTGACATTTACAGGTCAGCTCTCCCCTGCTTTGGCACGAGACCCCCCCTCCCTGGCCGGTCCCGGCTGCCGCGTCCCCCCCAGAGCCCCCCCGTACCCGGGGAGAGCAGGACGGCGGCAGTGAAGAGGGCGAGCTCCTCGTCCGACAGCTGCAGGCGGCACAGGGTCCTCCCCAGCTCGAAGACGGCACCGATGAGGTCGTCGCAGCCTGATGGGGGGACAGCGGGGAAGAAGGGGACGTCGTGGCTCCACACTGCCCACGGCACCCTGACAATCCCACCCACCGGCAGACCCCAGTGGCACCCGGGGCTCGGAAAGCTTTCCGGAGATGAGATGGGTGAAGGGGGGGTCCCCAGCAGACGCTGCCCAGCATGGCTGGGCTTCAGGCTGGGGCAGAAATCAGGTCCCGACCACGGTGCGCATCAACCCGATCTCAACAGGAGCGGGAGCAAGCGCAGGTGGGCCTCACCCCCTCCTGTGCTCCGGGGATTTAGCCCAGCCGCAGGGATGCTGCGTTTCACCTGGCTGCAAACCCCAGCCCTGTCCGGGTGTTGAAAGGAGAGGAGAGCCCCGAGAGAGGCGCAGCGAAGCGGCTCTTACCGAGCGACTTGAACATCTGCACGCCGCCGAACTTCCCCTCGAAGAGGACGGTGTTGTTCAAGGGGTTGAAGGCGCGGATCATGCGGATTAGGAGCACCTCGAGGCAACCTGACGTAGGCAGAGAGAGCGCAGGGCAGGGCGGGGCAGGGCAGGGCAGGGGGGTTTCCATCATCCCAGGACCAAACGTAAGAAAGAGGAAAGCCCCCAGTGCAAGTTTGAAGTCCAGATTGTTCATTCCCAAGAGCAGAATGGTTATTCCAATAAATCCAATTTGGATTTGAGGTTTGGGGTTTTTTTTAAGGTTTCCAATTGCGACCACAATATTTCACCAAAGGGAAACATTATCCCGGCATTCACAGCCGGACAGAGATCGATTGAGGTCATGGTGGAGCACCGAGAGAGGAGAGGGTGAAAACAAAATAAATAAAAAGAAAATGGAAGGAAGAAATGAAAGAATGAGTTAAACTCCAGCGTGTTGGGCACGGCCAGCTCTGGCTTCAGGGTACAGCACCCTGCTGGGATGCTGGCACCCATCCCCTGTGCTGGGTGAGGCTCACAGCTCCCCAGCCCCGAAAGTTTAGAAATTGGGCAACTTTTCCACCTTTTTTGGCATTTGGGGGCTTCTGCACATTCAGCTTCCTCGCCTGGGCACGGCGTCGCCGGCTCGGGCAGACGGACGGGTGGGGGACATGGGTGTGCGCTGCCGTTGTCCTCCTCTTCCCAGTCTCTTGCTGGGAGAAGAGGCCAATCCTTTCCTCTTCTCCCTCCCTGCTCCCCTTTGGGTTTGGCACCCCTTTTCCCAGGGGAAAACCCACTGTGCTCATTTCCATCCCAGTTTCTGGGTGACATTTGGTTGAGGGCAACCATGGAGAAAAGCCTCTGGCCGGGGCGGCCACTCCCGGTGTCCCTCTCTATACCATCGCCTTTAAAAGTGGCCTTAACCTCCTTCCAGCCCGGTACCTGCTCACCGAGCACCGATGCCGAGCCCAGGGGCAACCGGGGCAGTGAGGGAGGGGAGATCCAGAAAGGAAAGCACTAGCCAAGAGAAAAGATGGGATTTGCCTTCGGCACCACGGCTGCCACTTGGGAGAGGCGTTGGGGACGCGAGGGGGACGGCAGGGACGCGAGGGGGACGGCAGGATCCCCCGCTCTTACCGGCTTTCAGGAGGATGATTTGGTCGTTCTGGCAGAGCTCCATGAAGCCGTCGATGCGCTTGGCGAACTCCACCACGTACTGGATGGCGTTGGAGATCTGCAGCGAGCACTGCTGCCACATGGCCTCGCAGCTCTGCCGGCACAGCGGGGACGTCCCTTAGGGCTCGCTGCCACCCCGTCACCTGGGGTTTGCTGCCACTACATCACCCTGGCTCCACTGCTCCCCCTGTCCCCACTGCACAGGGCAGGGAAGGGACCCAGGTGCCGTGCCACCCACAGCAGGTGGTGGCACTAGGACAACGGGGACGTGACCTGCCACCCACACCCCCACATTCCCCCCAGTTGGGCTTCTGCAGCTCCCAAAGCACCAAAAGACCCCCCTCATCCTCCTCGCCTTCCTCGGTGCAGCACTGGGGACAGCAGTGGCCCTGGCTGAGGGCTGCCGTGGCTCTGGCTGTGGCAGGGAGCCGGCGGGGGCAGTGGCAGCGGTGCTCACCTTGCTCTGCAAGGCGCGGACCTCCTCGGGGGAGTAGAGGCTCCACGCCAGGCGCTTCAGCTCCTCCGTCGTGTACTGGCACGTCTCCAGGTGCGACTTCACCACGTTCTGGGCCACCCGGTCTGCAAGGCGAGGGCAGCGGGTGGTGAGTCCCGGGGACCCCACCGGCCTCCCTGTCCCCACACCCCATCGCTGTCCTCTCCCGGGTGTCCTGGGGGGCAGAGGGGCTCACACACGATGTCACAGGGATCTGAGGACAGATGGGGCGTCAGGGGTCGTCCTCTGGGCAGAGGGGAGGGCAACCTCAGGTGTGCCGAGCTCCATCAGTGCTCAGCCTGGAGGAGGGGATGGGCTCGGGGCTGCTCTGAGAGCCGAGGCTGGGTCGGTACCTTGCTGTGAGCTGTGCGGGCACCCAGGGCTGGATGCATCCTACAGGGAGCCTGGGGCTGCACCAAGCACCATCCCTGGGGCTGCACGCCCCGTGTGTGCCCGGCATGGCACCGGGACAGCGCCAATGCTCACCAATCTCAAGGATGGAGATATCGGGAGCCAGCTGGCCGCCCTCCAGCGCGCCGTGCGCGAACAGGGCCGGCTCCAGCATCAGCTCGTAGATGGACTCCTGCTTGATGAGCGTGGCGTCGGCCATGTCCAGGCTGGACTGGTCGGGCGAGGGCTGCGCCGAGGTGAGCAGGTCAAGGTTGTAGTAGGTGTTGCTGCCATCAGGGGTGAGGGGGAAGTCAAAGAGGAGCCCGTCCGACAGCGTGGAGATATCATCCAGGTCCGAAAGCCCGCTGCTGACGCTGGTGGTGTAGACACGGCTCAGGGGTTCGGGCTCATCCTTGGTGCCGCCGCTCTGCTCCTGGCTCTGCTGGTGCTTCTGCACCTCGGCGTAGAGGCTGTCCCGCTGCTTCTTCGACATGCGGCCGAACTTCACCGCTGCCCGGGGAGGAGAGGGCGGACACGTCAGGGCAGGTTTGCCCCTGCAGAGCGGCAGCCGCGACCGCCCACCTGCCCTGGGAAGGGTCCTGGCTCCCGGGGGAGCTCGTGGTTTGGGGGTCTATGAGCCCCGAGCGGGGCAGGGGCCCCGTCGGATGCACTCCCCACCCCAGACCGACCCTGGGTCGAACGGAACAGAACAGATTTAAATTTTCCCATGGAAAATGCAAAAGCATTTCTTGCTCCCCAAACCCCTCCTTTCCCAGCGCTGGCCTCGCGGGGGAAGCAGCTCTGGCCCCGACGGCCCAACTCCCTCCAAGGAGGAGTGGATGGGCCCCTGGGGACCCCAGGCACCACTCACCGTCGCGGGACATGCCCAGCGCCAGGCATTTCTGCAGGCGGCAGTGCTGGCAGCGGTTGCGGTTGGTGCGGTCGATCAGGCAGTTCCTCTGCCGGGAGCAGGAGTAGCTGGCGTTGTTCTGCTGGCTCCTCCGAAAAAAACCCTGCGCGGAACAGGGAGGCGTTGGGAAAGCGCCCGGCGGGATGCTAGCCCCCGCGGCCACCCACCCGCTGGCACCCGTCCCTGGGCTCACCTTGCAGCCTTCGCAGGTGATAACGCCGTAGTGGATCCCTGAGGACTTGTCTCCGCAGATCTTGCACGGGATCACTTCAATTTGGGCTGCGGCGGAGGGGAATAAGGGGGAAAACCACAGTGTTAACCACTGATGGTTAACTGATGGCCACCGCTGAACCGAACAAGGGGGGGTGGCCCTCCCTGCGCGACAGCTGCAGCCCTGCTCGGCAGCTGGGGAAACTGAGGCACGAGATCTGGACCCGCCGGCAGCCCAGCCCTTCCCACGGACCCCGCAAGGATGCTTGTGCCTCAGAGAGGACCCTTAAAAGGCCCACACATGGCGTGGGGTACCCCCATTCACTCCTCCATCCTCTCCAGCACCAAGAGACTGGCAGAAAAGCCCTTTGAGCTACGAGAGTACAGCACGTTTGTGCACCAGCCTCCCTGGGACCCCATTTTGGAACCATTCCCCTTATTTTTCAGCCGGTGTGTGCACGCTGGGGGAGCACCACAGACAGGGACATCCTCGGCACAGGGACCATCCCCATCCCTGCAGGCACGGACGCTCTCTTGCCAGGGGTGTGGCGCAAGCAGAGGGTCCAGGGGGCCCCTGACCCCCCCCGGCAGCTCCTTAGAAAACCCAGGACCGATATAGCCACGGCTGGCTCAAGGTCCCGGCCCCCTTCCCCCCGCAAATCCGCTTCCCTCCCCGCTTCTGCTTTGCTGGCACTGAGCTGCTAATAGGCTTCGTCCTCCTCATTTTCCAGCTGCCCCAGATCTGGGCTGGCTCTGCCCGCCCTGTGTGCGCGGGGGGGGGACGCGGGGCACCCCCGGGACTCGTACGTGCCTCCCGGCATCTCTGCACCCTCTAATCCCCGCTCCAGCCCCCGCGCCCCCCGGCCAGGCTCAGCCTGGCGTCGCTCTCGAGGGTGCTGGGCAGCCGCCGCTGCGCCAAAATAACCCCCGCGGCCAGATTATGGTTATTTCAAATCTTCTGGGCCTGTGCAAATCCCCAGCTCCAGTAATTCCCTTCTGCCTCTCTCCTCCCCTGGGAGCGACCAGTTCTGGTTGAGGGACATGTTTTGTGGGTTGCTGCTGGCGGGGGCCCCGGCCACCTCTGCGGGTGACAGCCCCAGTGCTCGGCCAGCGCCGCCCGCACCCCGGCACCCGGTGGTGCCCCGGGGTCCCTCGCTGCTTTGGGAGGAGGCTGGACCGGGTCAGCGTGAGCCTTGCCGTGCAGCGGGGCAGCCGGGCTGCCAGCAGTCCCCCCGGGATGCTATCAGTCCCCCCCGGGGGCAGATTTGCTCCAGCCGTGCAGGGGGAGGACTTGCCCCAAGTCCGAGTGCAAGCGGAGGGACAGATCCCTCCTCCATCCATCGACTGCTCAGCTCCTGCTCCAAATGCACCAGGCGATTCTGGGGTTCAACCCCCTTCCCAGGGCTGTGTTATTGTCGTCGTCCCCCCCCCCCGACCCCTGGGTCGCACCCTGCCCCTCCCCAAAGCCTCTGCCCATGCCTCCACTGTACTTCTGGCTCTGGGGCAGCAGAGCCGCCTGCCCGGGGCTGGCAGGGAGCAGGCAGGGATGCCCAGGCCATCCTCCCATCCTCCAGTCCCAGTCCCCCCCGACTCTGTACTGGCATCGCAGCCCTGGGGTCGCCCCTTTGGTGGGGGGAGGCACCGGCGGGGCGACGTGCCAGTGCCCCCATCTCGCCCATGGGCTCCGACAACCAAGGCACCCCCCAATTCCCCAGCTCCCACCGCCACCACCAGAGAGGGGTGCAACCTGCAAACCATGGGGACCCCGACACCCTGCCCCTATCGCCCGGGGAGGAGCGCGGGGATGGCAGGGAGGTGGTGGCACTGGGGGGGCACAGGGAGGTGGTGCCACCCCTGGCAGGAAGCGGCGTCGCTTCGTTATGCAACGTAATTGCAGCCGCCGGGAGCGCTGGGGTGATGCATCGCCGGTGCGCCGCGCCCTCACGCCCGCGGCCGATACTCCCGGCCCCCTGCAATTACCGGCACCGCACACCCGGCAAAACAGCCGGGCTGAGCGCAGCCTTCGCACCCACCGGCACCCACCGAGCGGAGCCCAGGGGTGCCGCCCCACTCGCCCCATGGGGCCCCAAAAGCCGTTCGCTGGCTGCCAATGATGGCACTGGCTTCGTGTGATGCCGATGGCCGACTCCTGGCCCCGCACCCCCAGGCCCACGCGAGCCCCCCAATAGACCCCCGTAGCCAGCGTGGGCAGGGCTAAGGGTACGTGGGGACGATGCTGTCTCGGCTCCTCCAGAGCCGAGCGTCACCCCCAGATGCCGTGAAGGAGAAGCCCTGACCGCTCGCCGTGTGCCTGCAGCCTCCTGGGGCTCTAATTAGTACCCTGCTAATTACACGGCCGTGCCCGCAGCTGGCACCTGAGCCGCTCCTAAGACGTTCGCCCCAAATAACTGACGTGGAGATACGGCCGTAACCCCGGCACAATGGCAATTACAGCCCAGAATAGCGTTTAATTGCCGCTCTGTTTGTAAACCCCGGCTGAATCACCGTGCCGGCTCCCTCGGCATCCCCTCGTGCCGCAGCCATGTCTCCCCCGGGACACTGACAGGGGCTGGACATCCCCCTGGGGCAAAGCCAGCAGGACAGGGAGGGACGTGGGTGCTGGTGGGGTGGCCGCAGCGGCACCCCACATTCCCCAAATCTCACTGCAAAACATCACAGCAGACCCCACACCCTGGGCACGGCCCCCCCGTCGTGCCTCAGTTTCCCCACTGGAGCACTGGGCTGCTCCTCCTCCTCCCACCACAACCCCGTGAGCATCGGCCACGCTGTGCAAAAGGGGGGTTTATTTAGATGGAGGCGAACCCCTTCCCCCTGCCCGGGGGGGGACAGGCAGCAAAACTCCTCCCCAGGGCCGGTGGGGCTGAATAGGGGGCAGGAAAAGAAATAAAAAAGGGTTAAAAAAAATATATATATAATCTCCAGCCGGCAATTAAAATGTCCCGGCCATGGTATTTGCTCTCCTCCCACTGTAAATATTTCTTGCCCAACTCCCGGCCCGCTGCCACCGGCCAGCCCTTATGTAAGCGGCACCGCGGCATCGTCCGGCCACGGGGCTCAGCCGTGGCGGTGGCGATTGGCCCCGGTCCGGTGGCTCTGCGTGGCCCCACGGCTGGAGCCATCCTGTCCCACTGACACACTTTCTGCCCGTGGCCCCATGCACTTGTGTGCTTGTGTAACGCCGTGGCCGTTAACCCTTCCCACGGCCGCGGCCGCACCGGGACGGAACCGCGGCTGCACCCTGACCTCTCACCGCTGGGAATGGGGCCTTTGGGGCATTTTGGGGTGATACCTCGGGCTGGGGACACCCGTTTGCCGCTCTGACCTGCAGCTCTCCGTGGAGGACGCAGGTCCATCCCTGCACGGTCCCCAGGTCCCCTGTCACCCCCCCGGACCCAGCCATCTGTGTCCCCTCCAGCCCAGCACCGCTTGCCCCGAACTGGGCAGGCGGCTCCGGTGGTTTCGGCAGAGCCAGAGCTGCCCTCCCTGGAGCAAGACTCAGCCTTCCTCCCGCTCTGGCACACCCTCCTCTCCATCGCCTCCACCCTGAGGGCGGGCATCCCTCTTGCACCCCAAAACAAGGCAGGCCCTGCAGGATCCGGCCACGGGGGTCTGGACCCTCCCTCTGTGGTCCAGCGGCCGCAGGCGGCCCCATCCTCCTCCCCCCATCCCTCCCCTTGGCTGTATGATCTCGCTGCTGGGGAGGGTTCACCCCAAAAACCCTCAGCACCCCACTGAGCACCGGGACGTGGCGCGACCCCTCTGCTGCCAGAGGCTTTTTGGAGCTGCCACCCCTCACGGGAGCAAAGCCACCCCCGGGGTGCGGGTGCCCCTTGCCGGGGTGGGGAAGCCAGCAGCCCAGCTCCGGCAGTTTTGGAGGTGGCTCCGTGCCCCCGTGGCCGTCCCTGCCCCAAATACCCCCTCAGCTGCCAGGGCAAGAGCCGGGGCAGGCGGCTTCCCCGGTGCCCTGGCTCATTACCCAGCAAACCTGCTGGGAAAGTAGGTCTGTGCCCCATCCCGCTGCCACGATCGATGCCGCAGGACGGGCACCTCCGGTAATTAGCAGCAGCCCCGCAGCCCTCCCTCACCTCCCCAGCCCCAGCCAGGGCAGGGGGATGCTCTGATGCTCTGCCACCACCGTCCTCTCCCCCCCCTCAGGGGTGCAGGCACAGCCCCCCACTGGGCTCAGCATCCCCCTGGTGCACCCAGAGCAGGGGGAGGAGGATGGGTCCAGGCTGCACGGAAACACGCAGGGACCCACAGGGACACGCAGGGACTTACGGTGCCACCCCACCTCCCCATCGCTGCCCCAAAACCTGGCTCTGCTCCCTCACTCCCTGCGGCAACCTTCGACCCCAGGAGCGGGCGCTGCTCCCGGCTGCACCCGCCTCTGGGAGCCATTGCACCTCCCCATAGCAATTAGCTGCCGTTGTATTTTGGGAAGGCGGCCGTGGGGTAGGGCTGGCGGAGGAGGAATAAATAAGTAAATAAAAGGAACGATCACCCCTTTACATCTGCCCTTGGTTTTGCTTTTAAACAGGCTTCTGTGCTGCAGTGCCCAAGGGTCCTGGCATTTCGGTTATCACCGCCGGCAAATCCCATCCCCATCCACGCACCCGGTGGGTAACCCCAAACGGGCTGGGGCTGCAGGAGGCTGCGGCGGTTTGCAGCACGAGGCCGGCACGGCCCCGCTGTGATGTTCGAAGCGCCGGCTCCACATCGCAGGGGCAATGGTAGCACCTGGGCCAGGCGGGCAATAAGGAAAATTTAAATTACGCAACTCCGGCCCCATGCAGGGCTGTGATGCCAGAGGTGGGAAATGGTTTCTTAACTGATTAGCAGAGATTTCCTGGAAACTTTGGGCTAGAGCAGGGCCCAGCCGCTCTCCCCCTGCCCCAGGGCAAACCCCGGCCACCTTCGCTTGTGGCCACACGGCCGGTGGCTTCGTAGCCGCCCTGGTCCTTGGCAAGGTGCTGTTTTTTCCCTGTCCTGTGGTGCAGTGCGTGTCCCCAGCTTGGAAATCGTAGCAAGCAGTTCACCCACAAGCAGCAGCAGGAGATGAGGCTCCCTCACGGCCACCGGCTCCTGCCCTGCTGCTGTGGTTCACCGGCTCCCAAGCCGCGCGGCACCGCTCCAAGGCCAGCCCTGCCAGCGCGGGACGCAGCCCTTTGCACTTTGGCTGGTGCAAGAGGGTGGCAAAGGTGCGGCAGCGGGGACGGGGACCTGCCACCCGCCGGGGGTGGGGAGAAACCGGGCTGGGGTGGGAGATCCCCCCCCCCCGGCCCTGCAGCTCAACTGGGGGGGAATTATCTCCGTGGGGCTAAATAAAGGCAGTGAGAGCGGCTCCGCTCACCACATCCAATAAACCGGGCGCGATTTAGACATTAGCAGCTCTTTAAATAGCCGCTGCCCGAGTTCAAAGTTAAATGTGACAGGGAGGAGGGATGGGCAGGACGGGCAGGGGATGCTGCCAGCACGGCCAGGCTGCGGGGTTAACCCGCTGCCACCCGTGGGGACAGGGACCAACATCTCCCCATCACCGTGCTTTCCCCCTCCAGGTGCTGCGGCTCCCCGGATCAAGGAGTCAAGGATCCCAAATCCTGGCTGGATCCCACGGGACCCCACGTTGCCGGTGGCCACCCTTCTCCTCCAACCTTGTTTTCGGGAGGCAAAGGGCACGGACATCCATCCCCATCCCCATCCCCATCCCCATCCCCATCCCCATCCCATGGCACCCAGGACGGGCACAGCCGTCGTGCAGGAGGGCCGATGGGTGCTGGTTGGCCTCGCCCGCGCCAGCGTGCACACGCTGCCTAAACGGGCAGGAAAGCTCCTCCTCCACCCTCTCTGATTTTTCCAATGACAGATCTAGGTCACTAGGACAAGTCGGAAAGGCTGCCGAGCCACCGCACGCTCCTCGCCACGCCGCTTGCAAAACAAGCGAGCAGGAGGGCTGGAAACCCTATAGGATTATACAAGGCAAAGCCTCTCGCCCGGCCCCGGCGCAGCCGCGGCGCGGGGAAGGACAGGAGCGAGGAGCTGCTGTGGCCCCCGGGGAAAGGGGCAGAGCGGAGGCGGTTTTGGGGAAGAAAACGGAGATTGAATCGATTCGGCGTCGCCTTGCGGCACTTGGGCTTCGGCGAGAGATGGGGACCCTGCACTGGGTGGGATTGCGAGAAAAATGCCCGACGGGGAAAATTATGTGATATGAGGGGGGTTTGGCCCTTAATTAGGGTCAACGCACAGTAATTGGGGGGGAAAAAGGAAAAACATATTTTAGAAAAAGGAAAAGTTCACCCAGCTGCTAATTAAACCCGGTGCCGGCTGTGCGAGCGCTACGTAAGAGCCAGGCGATGTTATTAATTAGGCAGGCGTTAATGCTTCCCTCCGTACTAATAAAGGTGAAATCCTGGGATGTCACGGGGCGGGAAGGGGACGCGGGGGGCTCGCCTCGCCCTCGCCCCGCGTTTACACAAGAGTGCGGCGGGTGGCAGAGCCGCAGCGCCCGCCACCGCGCCGCAGAGGGAGAAAACCTGATTTGAGGAGCTCGAAGCTGTACGTCCCCGTACGTACACCCAAAAACGCACCTAAATATTGGGCCCGAAAATACACCTAAATACACGCACCCAAAAAACACACCTAAAGACGTGCGCAAGCAAGTCCTGGTGGGGCGACGGGCTCGGGCGCGGCAGGCGATGATGGAAAACTGCTTGAAAGGGGGATAAAAATCCCACCTCACGGTGTCAGGTCCCAGCCGTGCTCCCAGCAGCTCAGTTGGGAACAGGGATGGGGAGAGCTGGCTCCAGCCGCCGCTGCGTCACCGCCACCGGGCCGCGGTGGCTCGTCCCGCCGCAGCCTTCCTCCCTCCATCCTCCTCCTCCCAACCGCCTGCTTTTTTGCGAAGTGGAGGGGTGAAAAGTAGGAATCGCCTTTAATAATGGATAAAACCAGGCAGGCGCTGGTGCACGACTCACCCCCTCTCCCTGGATAAGGGGCACCCCAAATTGCGGCTGGTCCCCACGGGAGCACCGGCCCGGCCCCAAACCGCCCCCGAGGCCGCGGGGAGGGGGGAAAGGGGGGAAACCCCCCCCCCACCCCAGAAAGCCAAACCCCCTGCCCCTGCCAGTCCGCTCCCCAGGCCAGTCTGTGTGTGCATGTCTACGAGCATCCCCTTCTCCTGGGGAGGCGGGGGAAGCACCAAAGGCAAAGCTGGCTTCATCAAGGGCAGCTAAATGCAGTCAAGCACTTCACCATGGTGAAGACTGCTGTGACAGGGGTGGGGGTATTTGATCGGAGTCCCTATTGGGGACTCACATGAGGCATTTGGATATGCTTGGGACTTCTGATCTTTCCTGTGCTCCAGACAGAAGTGTGGTAAATCAGCTTGTGCAGAGCAGTGCACCTGAGCTAGTTCTTTCAGAGCAGACCAGGTGTCTTTAATTGTATCGTGTTGTGGAGACAAGCCAGGTTTAAATGGGTCATTTTAGAATCTGTCTTCATTTCACGCAGGTTTTGCTACAAATCTATCTATCAATCTTTTAAACTCCCACCACAGCCTTTCATACCTACCTCACCTTTCCTTCTCTTTCCTCTTTCATTACTTAAATGTCCCACAACATGAGTCTAATACGATATTAACCACTCAAGCCATAAAGGTCCTGTTCCAAAGTCTCATAACATCAAATTATCGGGCCGGGGTCCCAGGGCTCTGGGGGCGGGGTGCTCGGCGCTGCACCCCCCGGTGCTGCCCGCCCAGGGGAGGGCCGTGCCGCTGCCCGGCCTGTCCCGGCTCGCCCAGGCACGGGGCCGCCCGCGGGGCCCGCTGAATCACCCCCCCGCCTCCCTTCACCCCGTCCCCGGGGGGCTCCCCTGTCCCCCCCACCCCGGGGTGCCCCGCTTGGCACAGGGATGCTCACCCCCGGGGGGGGACCCTGGAGAAGGTGCAGACACCCAGCGCTGGGGGGATGTCGGAAGCGCGGGGACCCTCGAGCAGCCCCAGCATGTTCCCGAGCAGCCCCAACATGTCCCCAGGCAGGCCCAAGGTGCACCCAAGCAGCCCCAAGGTGCACCCAAGCAGTCCCAGCATGTCCCCACACCAGGGTGCAGATGCTGAGGTCCGAGGGGCCGGGAGAGCTGCAGTTCGGAAAGCGCACGGTGGAAGCAGCAGGGAGGTTTGGAGGTGGCAGCGAGCCATTCCCACCCCGTCCTTCACGCTGCGATGCACGCAGAGGGCTTTGGGGCTCGGGGTCGGATCCTGGATAACGCAGCGCTCCAATGCACTGCTGTAATAAATGCAAAGAAACACTGGCTCTGGACCACGCAATGAGACCTCGTGGTGCAGTGCCAGAGGTGTCGGCACGGGGCAAAGCCCCGTGGCTGGGGTTGCACCACATCACCAGGGTCCCCACGGTGCCACATCACAGGGGTGGAGGCGGTTGGTCCGTGTCACGGCCAGGCCAGGGCTCAGGGTGCGAGGGATGCGGCGCTCAGCAGTGCCAAGGGATGCCTGGGGATGGTGGCACTGGCCTGGAGACCTGCTGTGTGCAGCTGAGGCACCTGCCATGGGCATGAGCATGGCATCCACCATGGGCATGGGCATGGCATCCACCACGGACATCGACATGGCATCCACCACGGACACAGCATCCACCACGGACATGGCATCCATCACAGGCATGGATGTGGCATCTGCCACAGGCACAAGCAAGGCATCAGTCATGGCCACGGGCATGGCACGGGCATGGACACCACATCAGCCATGGGCATGGAGGTGGCATCCACCATGGGCACAGATGCAGCCGCCACCACCATCACACAGGTGGCATCACTGCCTCCTCCCTGGACCCCCCCTGCCCTCGCGGTTGGGCTCTTCAGGGGACAGCAGGGCCTCCAAACCCTTCAATCAAACCATCTAAGCAGAGCTGAAGAGGGTGATTTCAACCCACGTCCATCCCAAAGCCCGGGGCTGAGCCGGGGGCGCAGGGACGCTGCTGGGTTGGTGGCAGAGGGGCTCTTGCCCCCCGCTCCCGGCACTGTCCCCCACTGCGGCAGACGGACAGCGGGGCTGAGCCGCGGTGGCACGCTGTGTGCTGCCACCCGTGCACCGAGTTACTGCCTCACTCTGCTCCGGCGTGGGAGCAGCTGCGGCCGGGGCGGGGGACAGAGGAGGGCGGGGGGCGGCTGGGGCCGAGCCGCCTGCCGCACTCCAGCGCTGCTGTCTGACATGATTTTGCTGATGGCGACTGGGAACGGGTTCGCTGCTCTCGCTGGTCGGATTCGCTCCTTCCTCCCCGCTTTCCTCCCTCCTCCCCGCCACGCTCCGCATGGATGGGCACGCAGACGGGACGCGGGGCGACATCTCGCCTTCGTCTTTACAGGCTCTGCTTCCAGCAGTGCTTCTGCAAGCGCAGCCCCGAACGGCTCCCAGAATCCCACCCCAGCACACATCTCAACCGGCCCCAGCCGGGGGCAGCCCCCGTGCCGGTGGCGTGCACGGCGTGAGGCCGCTGCCTGTCCCCGGAGGTCATGGGCACTGCCCGAAAGAGGTCAGCCTCATTAGCCCCATTTCACAGATGGGGAAACTGAGACTGGGAGCAGTGTGGTGACTCTTTGGGGCACGCAGGGTCCGGCCCCGGCGAACTTGCCCCTCCCAACAGGCGGTCGCCGGCTCGCCTGGCGAGGCCCCAGTTGCCACTGTTGGGACAGTCGTGGCCAAATCGCACCAGAGCAAGAATGCAAATACTCCCTGAGTGCCCCGGTGCAACCCAAAAGTATGAGGTTACATAAGCGGCACCACACCTGCCGTGAGCAATGCGGGACCCACGCACCTGCTCCCCGCCACCGTCTCCTTAACCCTTCATGCGCGGTGCCCGATCGCCAACACCAACAAGCGTTGGTGCGGCCCAGGGAAAGTCCCCGGGGGAAAAGGACATGCTGTGAGGCCACCCGAGCAGGAACGGCCCGTGGGTGCCGGGTGCTGCAGGTCTGGGACTCAGCCCCATGGTTTTGGGGCCACAGGGGTGGAGGTGGAGAGGTTACGCCAGAGCAGGACCCCCTTTTATCTCGACCAGGGCCTCACCCTGTGGACTTGGCCAGGTTGAAATTGGGGTCCTGGTCCCAGCAAAGCCAGAACCCAGGTGGAGCCCAGGGCTGTTGCAGATGCAGCAGCATTGGAGGTCACTGAACCTCCCCTAAAAACCACCTCCCCCTCCGCACGCTGTGATATGGAGCCTGGTGCTGCTCTGCTCGCAGTCGGTCGGTTCAGAGACGCTGACCCTGGCATCGACCGGCGCCGCTCCCAGCAATGGGGAAGCAGCGGGGCCGGAGGGGCCAGAGCTGCCGTCTGGTGCCTGGGTGCTGCCAGAACCGGGCTCAGCTCAGGGAGCTGCACCCACCTGGGCGATGCCGGGGCTGTGTCCAGCGGGGCTGGATCCAGCCCATCACAGGTGGCACCAGCAGCCCCCGGGCACCGGTGGCACGCGGAGGAGATGGCCACCGGGAATGGATAAGAACCAAAAACTCTGCCACCCCATCACCATCCAGCCCTTCTCCTTCCCTTCTTCCCTGGCCCAGCCTTGCCGCTGACTCTTTGTGGTCAGGGCCAGGACAGACGCCGGGGCATTGCCAGCCTATGGCTGTGTTGAAGCGGCAACCGCCGGGGCCCCCCCCGCCGGCACGGCTCCGCCGCCAGGATCAGCCCCTGGCTCGCCTGGAGGCGAGCAGGAATTTGGGATGACACCACCACACCTTAATCACTGTTTGCTCTCGCTCACGCCCCACCCAGCGAGAGGGGAACCTCTCTGCCCGCCCAGCCAGCGTTACCCCGTCCTGCACCCGCAGCCCTTCGCCCAGCCTCCGAGATCGCCGGGCTCCCCGCCATGGGCACCTCCAGGTCGCTTCGCCTCACCGTGACTCAGTTTCCCGTTGGGAACGGCTGACCTGCCCAGCGGGGAAGTGGGTCGTGGGGTGAACCCACTTACGGGGGCCGCAGCGTTGGTGCCCCCAAACCTCATCCTCGGGTGCTGGCATGGGGACGTGCCCCGTGGCAGCCCCAGGGCTGGGCGGGGGTCCTGTCCCCGAGTGCCAGGCTGGGGTGGGTGCGGGCAGCGGGAACAGGGTGGTTTGCAACCACCGAGCCTAACGTGGCCCCTGGCTGCAGGGTCAATGCCACGGAGAACCCCCTGCTCAGGGACGGGGCCCCCCTGCTTTGTCCTCTCCATGGCGTCGGTGTCACCCTTCCACCCAGCCCCACTGCCCAAGCGCTCTGGCAGTGCAGGACAAGGGTGGCCCTGCTGTGCCGGGCAGGGCCGGTGCCCTCACACTGTGGGGATGAGACGTGGCTTTGCCACCTGCGCCAGCTCCAGGCAGCTGGCCGGATCTGGCACGGCGCTGGGCACGTGGCTCTGCCGAAACGACGTGAGTCACTGCCCCATGGCACTCGTTATGCAAAGGCTGGCACGGGCTGTGGTGTGGGGCTGTGGTGCGGGGCTGTGGCGCGGGGCTGTGGCGTGGGGCTGTGGTGCGGGGCTGTGGCGTCGGGCCATGGCGTGGGGCCGTGGCACAGGGTGGGTGCTGCTCGGGCACACCAGGGCAGGTGGCAGGTGCAAAGCAGAGCACGGAGAAGGGGGAAACTGAGGCAGCAGTGGGGTGCGCCCCCGAGTCCCACAGCCTGCGTGGGGCTCTCCCTGTCCCCACCCGGGGCTGGGGGCTGTGTGGGGGCCGGGGGGGCAGCGGGGCCAGGTGTAACCGGAGCCCCCGGGCTGGCCTGACCCGCTCACGTAACGCCAGCCTGGCGCTTATGCAATAGCTGCTGCCGCACAGCTACAAGGGACATCCAGCGCCGCAGCAATTACCCGGCCCTTAATCAGCGGCGACGCAGGATAACGAGGCTAATTGGAGCCGTGGCCGGCAAAGCTGCCGGTGGGCCGGGGAAGGGACCTTCGGTCTCGCCCTGCACCCCGAGGGGGGCCCCAAGCAGTTAGTGGCTGCTGAGCCTTCATTACGGGCTGGGGGGGGGGGACACGTCGCCGGGCTGGACCCCGCTGTGCCGCGGGCAGCAGCTGTGGGTGCCCGTGGGGTGGGCCAGAGCATCGCCTCGCTGCTTGGCTGGAGGGTGGCACCCCCCTCCCTTGTCCCCATCCCCATCCCTGTCCCCACACGCCTGCGGCACAGCAATGCTCAAAGTAGGTCAGTGGGCCGAGGTGCCGGGCGACCGCGGGCGGCCGCAGCATCCGCCCTGGGGGGTTTGCTCCAAGAGACCTCGGCCTCCGCTCCCGGCCGCCCTCGCTCTCTGCGGAGCCCATCGCCCTGCTCGCCCCAGGGTGCTCAAAGAGTGGGCGAAGGTGGCGTTTCCCAGGGCTGGGCTGCAGAGCCCTGGCACACCTCGTTGCACAAATGATGCCCGAATAACGGCACCTGAAGGAGGGGCCTGGCCCCCCCATGCCACCCCCTCCCTCCCTGCTGCCCCAGGAGGCTCAGCCCGGCGGCGTGGGGCACAGAGGGGGTCCCCAGGCGGCTCCCCCCGGCACTCGCCCCTGGCTCGGGCAGCACTGCCTCCGCTCGGCACTGGCCCGGGCGGCCCCCGGGGCGGCCCCAACTCCCCCGCCAAA